GACCTTCACGATGCTTAGCAGGAGTAATGATATGGTTATAAGGAAGGTGCCGACAAGTCGGCACACTCCGGCCAGCGGGAGAAGTAAATGAGAAACAGCGAATGAGCAGCACATAAACATACACAATTAATGTAAGCAAATGTATAGATCTAGTACTTATCAGGATACCGTAGTGGGCGTCCTTGAGGAGCTAGGCAAATGAAGTCAGAGTCCAGGTTGATGTAGTGACAGGTGGCATGAGATGGTGAACAGGTAAGCGGAGAGGCAGAATATCGCAGATGGTCATGACGTAGTCGAGCATTTGTGAGCGACGAAAATACAGAGTAAGGATCGTGAGTTGGAATCTTCTTACTGTTTGTGGGTTGTCGCTTTACAGCCCTGTCTCTTCGGAAAACATCATTTTCTTTGGATCGAGGCTCTTCAGTTGTGGTGACTTGCGGGGTCAGATTATCCTCTGTTGCTGGTATGTTGCCATTCATGGCATCTCCGCGGGCCACAGTTGTGCAGTCTTCAGAATGAGGACTGAGACGATCTTCACCGTGATCTTCTTCCATCGTCGCGGAATCCATCATGATTGCTAGAGCATCCGTCTCCTTTTCCGCATCACGTAAAAAATTGTTGAACATGCTGGATTGCTGTTCCTTAACTACTTGACTTGATGCGAAATTCTTGTATGTTTCTGCGTACACTATCTGATATTCCACAGCAATAGTAAAAATATTAGCATCAGAAAGCAACTGGTGAAAGTCAAGCTCTTTTTCAAGCTCTTCTAGCTGGAGTATGACATTTTTTCTCTCGCTTTTAGACTGCCTGAGATAAAATTCTCCAAACTGGTCAACTATTGAGTCCAAAACTGTGGTTCTTGCTTTAACTTGTGAAAGGCAAGAAAGGAGAATATCTAAGTTTTCGAAACATTTCTTTTGAAGCTCTCTATCAATTTCTAAAGTAAACTTGAGCTTGAAATTACAGGAGTCAAATTTTTTGAGCAGGTTTGTTAGTGCTCTTGAGTGAAATGAGATTGCCTCTTTGAAAAATTTTAGAGACATTTTGATGTCCAAAAATTGTTGGAAAGATATAGCTACTTTTGAGCCGTTCGCTAATTTTGAGCGAAAATTGGGAAGATTTAGTCCCTGATGCGGAGGAGAATGGCTGTCGCTAGGTGCGAGGCAGCGGATTTTGGGCGCTAGGTCCCAAGGTTAGAATAGCTAACCTCTGTGTAGCTGAGGCGAGTAATGATCGGCCTTGCGATTTGGCCGATGCACCATAAATGTGGTGGCTCCGTGGCTTTCAGTGCCTTAGGCGGAAATAGCGCCTTTGGTGGAGCAGTGTAGCTGCTGGTAGACAAGGTAGTTCAGCAGCTTTATTGAGTCAATCAACATGCCCGCATGGGTGCAATGGTAGAATGCTGAGTATGATAGGCGTGTCAAAGTAACATCACAAACATCTGGGCAATAGCATACTTATATCACAGCAGGTCATGCTTATGGCATGACCTTTACGGTGCTCAGGCAGAAGTAATGATATGGTTGCAAGGAAGGTGCCGACAAAGTCGGCACAAGCTGCTCAGAGTGCGACGGCTCATCCAAGAGCAGTTTGTCGATCTCCATCCCATCTATGTCTTCGGCCATCGTTGCCTGAGATAGAACCGTGTTTCTTCACTTGTTCTCTTTCTTTTTCTTTACTAGTACGCGACGCGAACACGATATTTGCGAGTAACCTCTCCGTGTATCAAAACGGTACGCGCACTTCGCTCCGCTCCCCACAACAAGCGGGCTTCTGTCGTGTATGTGATACACTCAAACAGCGTATATTTCCCTGACTGAGAAGCTTTGTCAGTACTCGGTACACGCGCGTACGCCTCACCCCTTAGGACTGAAGCTGGCCGTGTAACTGACGCGCTTCTCCCAACAATTGAGAAGGCTCGATGTGCTGTACACCGAGTGCTTCTCAATAAGGGAAATATACACTGCCACTACACTAGGCAGGTTACACGCCTTGACCGTTTCAACGGTCGTTTCGGCGGAGGATTCCTTCGTTTGGTTCGGCCCCTATGTTACGCAATAGGAGGCCTACTCTAGGCGCTATCGCGGGGGCTCGGCGTGGTGTCCAGGGGCTTCTTATGTCCTTTATTGAAGCGATCCTCCAGGCGATTGGCGTCGGCGTCCTCCTCGGCTTGGTTCCTCGATTGATCGACCGCTCACCAGTTGACTCGAAGACAAAAAGTGATTTGAACCAAGCGGAGCCGCCTTACGGCCGAGAAGATGTGCATGCCGCGCCAATCGCCTGGTCCCGCCACGACGGCGGGCGCGCATACGAAATCATGCCAAACAATAGGAAATTTGTATCAGAAACGAACCAAACGAGATCATAACAACAATTGCAACATCAAAACAGCAAAATAAGATTGAGGAAAGAGGTACGCGCTAAGAATAAAGCACCTTTAGACATTTCAGATCATTCATATGTGTGTTTTTTCTTCTTTCCTTTCCTTCACAAATTCAAATTTTGCAAGGTTTACTCCAAAACCGTCCAGTTTGACGTACTACTGCTTCCATATGAGGATGGGCAGACATATTTTGCTGCCAATTAAGTAGCCTATACTTCAGAGGCTCTTTTGCGACTAGAGAGAATTCGGGTTATTTTTGCTGAATAGAATTTTTTGCGAGCAAAACAAAAAACCTATTATTTGATCTCTCGATTTAAGTAAATTTGCCGACTTTCTAATATTTGATTTTTTCTTGCAGTCGCAAACGAGGAAAGCCAATTGGCCAACGGCTCCTGCTTGCTCTCGCTTTTCTCTAACATATGCAAAAGCGAACGCATCACCTGCCGCTATATGTAGATTGTTGTCGCTTGCTAAATAACTGAGTTTGTCTTCTATCTTTAAAAAATAATTGACGAAGTAAGACATTCTCTACGTCCGATGAAATTATACGTATGTTCCATTACACCCCATCCATTATAAAATATTACATATTTAGTTTTACGAATGCTGCGGAAGTTCTCTTCATGGAAACCTTTTCTTAGGCATACCCTAAAATCCGGCATATAAGATCGCCTCGCCGATAAGACCGCAAAAGAGCTCTCAGTTAAGTCCGCTTTCGTGACAGCCTCGCGCGCCGCCAAGTCCCGCGGATAAGTCCGCCTTATTTTTTTCACATGAAAACAAGAAGGATGCGCAATTGCGCTGCCTTTTTTGGTCTCAGAATGAACCGAAGCAACAGATCTTTATTCAGGTAGCATTCCATGTTCATCATAACAAACATTCATGGCAACAACTTGACCAAAAGAACGACCATCATTATCGTTATTATCAGCAACAATCAAAGCGTCGAAATCCTCGTTCATGCCTTCTATTATTGATTCGTCATCGAGAACTTTGGTGAAACTGTTCGCAATGGTTTCTTCAGTGATTGCATTGAAACTCTCGTAGACTAGTGCAGCTAAGTCCGTTCTTATATGCCGGATTTTAGGGTAAATGCCTTTTGGCAACTTTGCCGGGGCTTGAAATTTCATCACTGAATAGATGATTCGCCAAGCATCAGTGAGCATTAGAAAGAGCCGGAAAAGTGTAGATGCTGTTTATGACAATGCAGTAATTGCAAAACTCTAAGAAAATAGGTCAAAACAAGACTATTGAAAATCGGACAGAACTTTTTAACCAGCCTAGTATAGAGAGATAATATGTTTCTTGTAAAAATAGTTTTGGAAATTCTGAACTAGCAGCAGGATTATACACGTTGCCCTTGCTACGATACATCTGCTAATTTGTACAAAAAGCGCGATGGTCACCTTGGGTGACATTGGCGACTTTTGCCATATCTGCCAGTGAACGAATTCTGAATCTAATCGCACCATTAACTCAGCCTTGAGCTGCGCATCTCATGACATGCTAAAAAAGTGCCTGTCCGAGTACGGTTAGTAGCCAGCTATTTTCTGGGAATCTTTTGCGGATTTTCACCCACGGTAATCAGTACGCTAATTTTTGCCATATGTTGTTTTTTGAAGTAAGCGAAAAGGAAAGACTCCTGAGAAAGACGGGTCACCATAAACTTATCGCGACCTGCACCTCCACAGATGCGCTAAGCCGATTGCGCTTTTGCCATATATGGAGATGCGCTAAGCCGATTTGACTGATTGTGAGTTGAATGGTGCTTTAGAATATAGAACTCGTGCCTACGAAGGGTGATATGGCATTGCCGCGCCGATGTTACCTCATCGCATTTTAGTACCAGTATCAATTTTCAAGCAGCTGCAAGTTTAGTGGCGACGGCCATCCATAATCGTAGAATCCACACCTCGTCGGATGAGGCGCAGGAGCAACGACAGCAACTACCAACCGCTACTCCAAAGCTTGGCGATGAACTAGCTCACGAGACGCGAGCTTTCTACTATATAGAATTGGGTACAGTTCAATGATTTACCCTAAAAAAATTTTTTTCGGTGATTCCATTGCAAGAAAAAACTTGAAAAACTAGTTCCTCCTTCCAAACTTTTTTTTATATGGTTTTCTTACCGGTTATTTAAATAAACAGAATCTGTTTTACTCTCCCGCTCAAAAAAAAATTTTGGTGCGTGGCCCGGAAAAAACTCTTTCACTGGTTAAACTGACCTGTTTGAAAATTTCGAAAAATTTAAACCATATACAAGTGTCAAGATGTCACTTGCACACTTTTATGACTTATGTAGGTAATCTTTGAAAAATTCGCGACCTATTCTGAGGCTCATTCTCATCTCAGGCTGTTCAACTACCACTCGTTGCTCCACATTCTGCTGCCTCCTCAGGCTCGGTCCCATCCCGCTCTCCCTCGAGCCGACCCCTGAATTTTATCTGCGATAGAAATTCATTTCCACTTTTCCAAAAGACTATAAATCAATTAAAGAGCACGGTGGATTGCCTCAAAAAGTCGGCCAAACCAAGCTGAATTCAAAAGTATTTTGGCCGAGTTTGAGTTCAATTGTTCCATGCACGATGCCATCTATAAGCAACACATAATCACCATACATCTCTACAAACTCTCTGCTTTATATACATAGAGATAGGAAACAATCAAAGTATCATGATAACAAAGAAGTTCCACAAACGTCACAAACATACTTTCCCTAACAAAAGCAAGAAACATAACCAGATATCGAAAATTTGTACATCATGTTGGTACTTGAATATTCGTGACAACTGTTTTTAGAATTTCACCAGTCTTCTTTCGCCAATGCTTGGGATCTTTCGAAACAGCTACCCACAGTTCACCATGTCGCGGCTCTGCTTCCTCACATTTTTTCAGCACCTTTGCCTGCTCCTCCTAAATTGCACACAGTATATCATCTATCAAATCAACAAAATGATGCTCAGCTAACCTCTGTACCGAGCATCAACTCGAACTTGTATGCATGTGCATAAGCATCTCCGTTATCCGGATCAACGTTGATGGCCCGTTGAAACCATTCTCGGGCTTTTTTGACCTGCAGAATCACAACTTCGACAGCAGCACAAAACCACAACCTGACAACTCACCTTTCTTTCTGCCCAAAAGAGTCGTGCTGCAGCAACAAGCACGTGTGGATTGTGCTCACAACGTTTCAAGGCATCCACAGACTTAGCACGACGGCCGTGTCTTTCTTCCATCCATATCGCTTCAGCCCATAGGCGGCCTAGATTTGTATAATTATCTGCAAATCAAAAGTGAAGGACACTTTACCTGATCCTTCACACTCCTGCAAAGCACGGGCCAATCTTTCTGCAGCTAACTCCCGCAGGCCAGATCGCATTTCAAGCCGAACTGACTCCAACCAAAGATCTTCATTTCGTGGATTGCGTATTCGAGCCTGCAAAATATCGAAACCTGTGGGGGATTATTCTGAAAAACATGACACATTACAACTTAGCCAGAGAAAACCCTCCTGGATTGATGATTAAAGAACCGAGAAGGAGATAGCAGTGAAATCAAAGACCTTATTCAACTCTTTCTATGATTAAAATGGTTGCTTGTATTGATCTTACATATAAAGCCTGAATTTCTGTTTGTCTGTCTGTCTATCTGCGTGTGCTGCCTATGTTCCGGATATAAAATTTCCATTTCTCAACCGATCGAACAAATTTGTCACATGCACTTTACGGCGGGGTGTATGCCGTAGGCTACTTTCCGTAGATTTTATCAATTTTTTGCCAAGAAGGAGCAAAGATAGGGTGGGGAGCTTGAACAGGGACTTGAATGAGCACGCGAATTACGAATACAAGATTCATCTTTAAAGTTATCAATGCATTTGTCAATTATAGACTTCTTGCAAACTCTAAGGTGGGGCGCTGGGAGTTGGTAGAGGAAAAGGGGGGGGGGGAGTAAGTGAGCATGCTGATTACAACAGCTTATCTTCCGAGGGAGCCTTTATCGAATTCTTGCAATTTTTGAGCTGGGGTATTAGAAGCTAGCAGAGGCACTGTGTTTGCGAAAACACGATGAGGAAAGGGAGCTGGCAAAAAGTGGGACAGCAGGAAAATACTGTGTGGAAGTGAAGGGAAGGGGCCGAATGAGACTGGGTATCTCAAATAGTGAAGATTGGATGAAGTTTTGTGATAGATACTAGAGAGAAAGACTAAAAACGTGTCTTTACCTTTTCTAGATCAGACCTAGCTTTTATGACCTGTTTTTGGGACTCTTCCAAACGACTCAGCAACAACCAGAGCGGAATGGCTCCTGGACACTTTTTAATCTGCAAAAAGAGCCATCAAAGTCACTGAGATGAAGGAGACAACTATGACTTACTCCATCTGTCAAAATTTTCCTAGCATCATCGTAATGACCCTCTTGCAAATCAATCTGTCCTAACATCATATAAAATTTGGCAAAATCGGGATACCTACAATTACACGAATTTCAGAGCAATCGAAGCTAGATACATATTTACTTTTCGAGACCCTCCCTAATCAATTCTTTAGCTCTATCCAGATCACCAAGACACCATTCCAGTCGAGCGCTTTTCATCCAAATTCGAGCAGATGGAGCGTTTCGCCGAGCCTTGTCCAAAAGACGGCGAGCACGAGCAAATTCATTGTTTTCAGACTCCAACTTGACTGCAGCCATCCAGATTCCTTCCGAGTTGGCATTATGTTCGAAAGCCTGGAAACGTGCGCAGCCATGCTAGTAAGTACAGAAATAAGCGCTCACTTTAGCAAGGATTTCTCTGGCTCCCGCTACGTCACCATGCAACCATCGTGATTTTGCATACATTAGCCAAAGAACTTCGACTTGCGGGCAAGACGCCGTAGCGTCAGCCAGCACTGCTTCGTATTCTTCTCTGAAACACGTTCTTTGTAGAATATACAACACGTAACGTGAGTATAAATAATGGGATTACTGAAGGTCAAAAACGGCGTAGCAGTAAAACTGGAAAGGTAACCGCACACTAACCTTGTTCCATGTGTTTTCTCAAAATGAGCGTTCGCCAGCCATATTCCTTTACGCTTTTCAAGATTCTTTAATGCGTGAGCGTATACTGCTCGAGCACATGCAAGAGCACCTGGTAGCATATACTTTTTAGATGTATATATGCGAAATTTTACATACCTTGTTTGGCGAAAGAATCTGCATCCTCCAGCCAGGTTGCCTTCTTATCCTCATCTTCCACTCCTGCGCCGATAACATGACGGCTAAACATAGAAAGAAACTTTGATATGGACCGGATGTTCGGTAGACATTTACTCACATTATAGCTTGACACGTAAGGGTACATCCAGCCTTTTCCGCATCAACCGCATCTTTCATCCAGTGCTCCCTGTTCAATTCGACCATATTCGCTGTGAGAGAAGTCAAAGCCTGTAAGCAAAATTATCATTTGCCTATATTGGAAGAGGAATACCTGAGCCTACCTTTTGCACAATTCTGTCTACCATCTCCTTCTGACCGCGAGTTTCTTCGAGACGTGCGGCACATAACCAAATCTGGCGATCTGTGGGAATGTGCTCACGAGCTTTGTTGAGAACCTTTCTAGCATTCTCGTAAGTCTCCAGTCGTGCTAAGGCCAGCCATAGTTCCGTGCTCGAACTTAAAATGAATTTAAAGTAATGGCAGGCACGCACGCCTCCATATTTGATCAACATGATATCATCGAAATGCTGTATTGTCTGAACTTCTTTGGCCATTGTAACAAAATATGAGGATATAAGCTTTGGAATCCTTTGGAAAACATATCGAACTTGATTCGTAAAAATAACCTAACGGCTAAGCGAACATGCAAGTGAGGCCATTTGCCCCTTAGGTAGAGAAAGCAAGAGAAAACATTTCAGTATTGTCACACAATGGACTGTCGAGCAAGAAATCTTACCTGCAGCATTCTACCGCTCGAGTAAGCAACACTCTTGCATCGTCCGGCTCCTCCAACTCTATTGCTGCTTTCCAGAGACGAACAGAGGTAGGAATCTGCTCCAAAGCTTTGCGGAACACCTACAAACTCCGAATGCGTTATACAGGTAGCCTTCATTAAGAAAAAGCTCACCTTCTTCTTAGCTTTTGGGTCCGTCTCAATTTCTGCCGCCTTCATCCAGATACGCACACTATGAGGCATTGCACGTACAGCATTGGCAACAATTGCTTTCGCCGTTTCTGGAGGATGTAGTCTGCAAGAAAAGCGAGATGCAACAGACAAGTTGAGCTACAGGCTGTTCGTACCTAACAGCTTCCAACCACATATCTTCGCTCTTCTTATTCTTTTCACAACCCTCCATGATCAGATGTCTAGCGACCTGCAACCGAGAAAAGCTCATAAGACCGATTCTAAACATACAACAAGAGAAACAAGTGAATTAAAAAAAGGAGCTTAGTTAAGAAGAAATTCGTGGCCAAGGAGGCAAACACTTCGTTTGCAGCCATTTGCAAGCGGCAACATTTATTTAGTGAGTAGCAATAATTACTATTCAATTCCTATCTCGGAGTTCATATTGCAAAACTATTTCTTTACGCAGGCAAATCACGACGTTTTTCAGCTGTACCTCGCTGACTTCCCCAAGTTATCATAACAAAGCATCAATTAAGAGTATGAAGAAGGTAAATTGGTGGAAAGAAGTCGATGGGTAACAAAACACATTGATCAAAAGCAGACATACCTGTAATTTTCCTACAACTTCTTCTAAGCGAGCACTAGCAATCCAAGCGGGCGGATGCTTTGGATTTGTCTCACGGACGGACTTCAAAAGCATCCTGGCCTTAAAAGCAGATAGTCTGAAGATACAAGCTATTCACGACGTATGACTGACTTTTTTCACGTCGTTGATATCACCTCCATATTGTGGAATCATCGACTGTAAGTCGGTCAAGTAACCTTTCGGGTCCACGACGGTTTGTCCAGTAACAGAATCAGATACCTATGCCACGTCACTATATCTGCACCAAAGACGATTCAGTATTCAACCATACCTGGTTTAACTTGATGTCCATGATTTTATTCCTCGCTTGACCAATTTTTATCAAATCAAGATCATTCCCTGTCGAGATGCCGGAGTTGATTCCTGTTTTCCATCCACCTACAAAATGAAGTCAAACCACGAAGCATTTGAGACTTGACTCTAATAAGTATATCCGTCGGAGCATCATGTATAATAGCAAACTATCGAATGAATGGAACACTGCTTACCTAGAGACGACTGCAATCCACCTATTGTGCTCTGGAATCCAGATCCATAAGGTGTTGCCATTCCTGACTGAATTCGGCTATCAAGCATGGAAGTCGTTTCACCGTAGTTCATAGACATAGCGATGACCGAATCAGGAACAGGAGTGAATCTGAGGAGGGACTTTGAATACTTTGTATTACATTGTACACTAATATAATTTGCAATACTTTGTATTTGAATACAAGATACACTTGAGAGTTGAAAAACCGACCTACTATATATGGTTCAAGTATGAAACTAACCTTTCAGCGCGTGGATTTCTTTTTGCCTTATTTCTCGAGTCTCCCACTTCTGGTATAGCGACCCATTCATCTTCAGTAACCTGACACAAAGTTTAATAGCTCATTATTTGTCGACGACTCACAAAGCAAAAAAGCAAGATGTGATTATCGATGATTTTTTTTTATCTGCAAGACAAGGTGTAAGTATATGACGGTAGATCAGTACATGATTAGCAAATGTCAAAATCGAAAATGATAATCATACCTCGCTCAGCTGCCTTTTCAGATCAGAAAATTCTTGCTGAATTTTCGGTCTTTCCTTTCGGTATTTCTCTATAGCTTCTTTATACTTCTTCTCTCTGAAATGTTGGAAGTAGAAATGCTCCTATTGATAACAGCATAGCTAGATACCTATAATCTTTCCGCCGTTCATCGATCCTAGTTTCTACGGCCATGTAAACTTCATCGGCTTCTTCATCTTCTTTATCATAAGGGTCTTTGGCGAACAAACTCCCGGCGTAGCCTTCGAACTAAAAATTAAACGCGATTTACTCATTTTGAGTCGGCTATGTGTAAAGACGAACTTCGTCATAATTAGTGTCATTGAGTGAATCTTCTGGTTCATCTTTAGCTGTCTCCTCTTTTGGCTTCTTTGACGGTGGTCCCGTTCCCGTTTCTGGCACATCTGTTGCCTCCCTAGCTGGTCCGATATCGGATCTGGTAGTGAAACCAGTCGCACCTGAGAATCACCACTAAACCTCTAAGCTCGTTCTTCTTGCTCTGCGGGTAAGTAAACGATTACCTCTTCCTACACCGGGAACATAGCCCGCCGGAGCGGGCATACCCATGAAGTGCTTTTTGGTTTTGTTTACGAGGGATCCAGGGATTGTTATAGACATTTTCTGAAATATGACAGGTGAGAGTGAATATAGTGAATATCTACAATCAAAGCGGATGATGTTTCGTACAAGATTCTCGATTCCCTAGGATCTAGCAAAGTGAACGACGAGAACTGGTAAGATTATGATGAGTCAAAAAAAGAGTACGATGAGAAGAAAGTTTCATTTCAGTCATAAGGAATGCTTAGTCTCAATAAGATGTCGGATGTAAAAAGAATTCGAAACGCTAATAATATTGCCACCAAAATCAATACGATAGCCTGTACTTTCGCAAAGACGCAAATACACCCAAAGCTTTTCATTTGCAAAATTTCAAAAATTTTACTTGTTGTATACAAAATGGCGCGGTAAGCATCTAATTTTTCCTAAGTGTGAGCTTTTGAATAGTGGATCAATTTGAAAATAGTTCAGCTGGTTTTAGCTTCTGCATGTTTTGCATGGCTGTGTCGTTTTTATTTGGTAGCAGTGAGGATTGGCTTCGTCGTGTTTTTGCGTTTTTTTCCTTCGAAAATGTTCTATAAATCATTCGGTTTGCAGGATGGACATTGACAAGTTGAAATTTGCTGTCAGTTGCTCTAGTAATATGAACAGAAGTATGGAGGCGCACAGCTTCATGCAGTAAGTGTTAGTGGGTTTTCATTTGCAGTGAAGTCAGTCGTACCATTTAGGAAACGAGGATTCAATATAGAATCGTATGGTTCAGGAAATCAAGTAAAGCTTCCTGGAACTGCTGCGGACAAACCGAATTGTTATGAATTTGGAAAGGCAACGTACGAATACATTTACAACGACTTGAAGGCCAAGGACTCGATTTAGTGGGTGTTCAAGCACTCTATTTTGCTGCATTTTATGCAACTTACATAATCCATGCGTCTTTTCAGTTATACTCAGAATGGTCTGTTAAATATGCTGGATCGAAACAGGCGAATAAAACCTGCTCCGCAGAAGTTCCAGCATGAGGATAAGGAGTTTGACGTTATAATCTGCTTAGAAGAGCGTGTTTACGACCAGGTTAATTTTTAGAACTTCTCTTCGTCGTTCAGATTCTGGAACATGTTTTTCATTCGGGGTTTGAAGTAGGATTATAATATATTTGAGTGAACTTGCTTTATTTATATTGGCAGCCTACATTGCTTAGGAAAAGCTGCAACATGCAGCGGAGAGGGGAGGGGATTTAACGAGCTGTCTGCGGTTGAATGGCGTCAACTTGCTCATATTGTCTGTACAAAATATGATTTTTTTTAGGTAGTCGATCATCTTCATACAAGGCCAACTACGAGTGGAAACCCTGTACACGTTATAAACATCGATATTGAGGATAACCCTGAGGAGGCAACAATAGGAGCATGGTTTGTTTGCGAGCTCTGTGGAAAGGTGAGCAGAGAAATCATTGTGTTGCAGATCCACATAACATCTCTTTATTCGTGGCAAAAGTACCCTTTACATGGGATGGATGTATAAGACTGCTGCGTAAAATTTGTCCGTTTTTTATTTCCAAAATACCGTAATTTTTCCTAGAAATTTTAAGCTCGATTTCTATGAGTTTAGCGAGGTTTTGGCAAGCTAGTATCACGAAAACCCGAAGAAGATTTTGCACTTTTTCCGTGGCCATGCTCAGGTATAAGGCATTTCTGCTATCCATTGATATATAGCGAAAGATTCGAGAATTACGTTACCAAAAAGAGCCCATGGAGACTAAGATGCTTAGAGATCCTTTGGACGAATGAAAAAAGGCTTTTGGCTCTCAACACGAGTCTTCAAATTATACTTTTAAGCTGTCGCAAGCGACGAAGAGTAGTGGTGGATCTCTCGCTAGGTTTACTTTATTCCAGCATATACAGCGTCATATTCACCGATTGTTTGTTCACCCTGTTTAGAGAATGTTACTGCTTGTACATCTGTATAAGACTTAGTTTTCCACAATATGTACTACAACGAGACGATTTTTACATTGAAAAGAACTTGTGCATATCTTAGCCCATTACATCCGTATAGTAGTCATAGAAGCATCAACGTCCCTTACTCCTTGTCCTCTCTCAAAGCTGCTCTGGCCGTAGCCCACAGCTTCTCACCAGCTTCTAACAACCTTAACTGCATGGCGAAACCCATTTGCGAGGCAATAGTGCAGAAAGTCCTCCCCCCCCCATCCTCTCCCTCTTTCGGGTTTTTCTCAAGGCCTTGGGCTCCAGTGTGCATCATCCTCTTCCTTGTTTCTGCCGCGTGTTTTGCATAACAAGGTCATGGTGGTTAAAGGCTCTTTCAGATCATCCCTAGGAAGGAGCGAGCCGCAATTCCACATTGCCCATGTTTGCTTCCCGAAACTTATGTAGCCATAGTTAAAATAGCTCACAAGGGAGGTGTTTTCGGTCGAAGTGGCCTTTTCACATGAAATTGATACGACTATAAAAAGCGTCAAACGCTGATTCCAAATCTATTTTCATTATCTGCCGAGCGCCTTTAGACGTCGAGTTATGAGCGTTTTTTGAGTTGAGAAATTAAATGCATAATTAGGACAATATTAGTCAGATTTGCTCAAATGGTCCAATGTTGATTACAAAAGCACTTTATTTGAACAATACCTTCTATCTAAAGCACTCATACTTAACACTGCTCTAATTGAGCGCTGAGAAGACCGTAAAATTTTATTTTGCTTAGATTATGCGTTCATTTTTCGCACCAAGAAAATATTCATAACTCGACGTCTAGAGGCGCTCGGCAGATAACGAAGACAGATTTGGAATCAGCGTTTGATGCTCTTTATAGTCATATCAAATTCATATGAAAAGGCCACTTCGACCGAAAACACCTCCCCTGTCAGTTGCATGATATAACTCCGATTTTGTTCCTCTTGCCAAGGTTCCAAAGCTCTTCTTCTGCAATTTTCTCAATGGCTGCTGGTTCGCATACTCTTTCCTTGCCCTGTTTCTACCCCTCTCTTACGTAACGAAGGAAATCACCTTCCGAGCTTCATGCCGTCGAGTCCATTCAATTCACAATTGTTCTAAGAGGGAGACACCTCATCCAAATTGCCCTCTATTTCTTTCTTCCTGGAGCTCATGTAGCCAAGGTACCCGCAAGTTCTCATCTCTTTAGCTGAATCGCTAATCATTACCTTGAGAGCCTTTCCTTAGTGTCTTTGCCAGGTAGCCATAGTTCTTCTCAGAAATTTTCCCAAATCTTCTAATTCCTACGCTCATTCTTTGTTCATAACAAAGGAAAACATCTATCCGAAATTGGTATGGCACGTTGCGTCAAACCTCCTTTCCTATGTAAAAGCTCTTCAAAATTCCACGATGCCCGCTTTCCTCAAAGAGCTAGACAAGGTTCCCGTCCCGCCGCCATCTACTCTCTAATCTTTGGGATTAAAGTTTCTTTTTTCGAGTTCTTAAATTTATATTTGTGCTTTTTGATAAGGTTGAGGTTCGGCTGAAAAAACGCGCAGTCAGTTTATGGAGTTTCTGCGAGCGTCAAACTACACGTCTATCAAAAAACTCTGTCAATTTCAAATCTTTGTTATAACACACAAAAACACAATTTTTTAAAAAGCTTCTGAGCTATCTGTGGAGATTAACGCTCTTTTTTCGAATTGCAGTGGGTGCAGCGTTTAGCAGATATCTCAAACTTTGTAACTGTAGCCTGTAGCTTACAATAAAATTTCATATGCGAAGGATTGCTTTGAATGAAAAAGGAGATTTTCTTGAGGCGTGTGGTTAAGAACCGCTCAAAATTCAGCGCAAAATTTATTTTCAGGACTGACCAAATTACATTCTTGTGGGGCTATACCTTTCGATTATACTCTTTCACATGGACAACGGTTTTTAGCGATTCTTCCAAAATATTCCGAAATCTTCAAGATAAAAGGTGTTCGCATAATTACGAACCGCACTTTATACACGCAATGAGGAAGAATGACAATGTTTGAAGTTATATGAAAATTTTTTTCTATAGAGCGTGCCCAGCTTCTTCTAGATATCTAATAGTGGCAATTCCCCCAATGAATGTTGGTACTGAAGCGAATACAACTTATGCAGCAAAGTAGTACTTGGCAGAATATTGCTAGAGTTTGATACTACAAGGCGTATAATAGACTCTGGTGGAAAAACGCCTTTACAAAAGTTTCCGTGTTTTTCGAGTTTTTTCTCTCTGAAATGGTGGTAAATTTGCATGAAGTCAGTGATGAAAAGATTCGATGAAAGATTCTACCACAGTGATGAAAAGCGATCGGTGGTTATACTGTAGATCATATCTGAGGCCAGCACAGAAATTTCCGCTTAATACATTGAGGTGGAAGGGTTATTACGATCAGTGTGTCACACTTTTGGACCATGTATCTATATGCAAGTATCAATTATTTGATGACTTAGGATAGCGAATCGTTTGGGCACTAACACGCGAAATACTACAGAGGATTTTGTCCTTTCTATGAAAACCAAAAGTAATTTGAGATGTTCTAGCTCGACGAGTGCGATGATCTTGACAACGAGATCGACGAGATCTTAGCTGACTTCGAAGCTAAAAATCAAAAACGGAACATCCTACATACAATATGCTTCTATTGAGATCTCTTGCTGTTGTTATGTGCATATCACATTCCTTTCTTTGTTATCTTTCATTTATATGTGCATGTCTTCTCATAATAACATGGTTTGTATAAACAATGTGGTATTATTCTTTTTGATGTTCACTTTGGTTGTATAACGAGCCTTTTGCGTGGAACTGCCTCAGTAGTACCGACCGGTGGTTCGCACAATGAATGATCGTCCATATAAAGCTGCAATCATTGTCATCAACGTTCTTTTATATCTAATCACGGATTACCTGCAAGCGCCGTCGTTCGTGAGCTTTCATGAGGAACTTTTCCTTGTAACAGTTGTTACAAAAGTTAGAACGCATCATTCTGGAGATTAAAAGTGTTTAAGACGAGAGGCAGACACATATCACACCAAATGCTTTTTTGTTCTGTAGTCAGCGCACAACCACCTTCCAAGACTGACTTGGACGATGGATACTGGGTACTTTCGTGATTTTACGCTATCAAATTTTCATTGGAAAGTTATCCAATTATACATTGTCTTATTCCATTAGAAAAACAGCTTACAGGCAGAAAAATACTCCAAGACCGCACATCCACCACGCACCGAGACAGCAGAGGACACCTAGCCTGTTGATGCGTTTCTCCACTGCCTAAATATGCCCATTTGGCATCGTCGAATTTCTTCAATCGGGAAAGACTTGCCACTTGATGACATTCTGAGCAAAGTGTGAATTGCTTCCTGTTTGGATCTGCTTCGTTTATGTCCGCATTGAGATCCATCACAAGCGACAGACTTTCGCTGGCAACTCGTGTAAATGAATCACCCGTGGAGAAAATGCGCTATGTCTTTTTACGCTACAGCGATAAAATCTTCGAATAATGTTAAATGTCAGTGAGCTCGCGTTTTTGGTGGTATGATCAGAAAAACTTTTATATCAGGTGGTAGAAGCTGCTCAATGGAAAGATCTTATATGCATTCTGGTTCCGGAGTTAAGAGTTAGATGCATGTTATGCCTTCAACATTGACGTTCAGGTTCCTGTGTGCTTCAGATTTGGTGTCTTTCACCACTAGTTTCCCCCAAAAAGCCTAAAAAAAATTAGGATACAACAGAATGAATGAGTAATCTCTTGCACAGACACTTCATATGCGAGGAGGTGCAAACCATACCAATCGTTCCACAAACAGTTTTGAGATCATTTTTGCAAGGCGAATACCATGACATATGTCACATGTTGACAAGCCGCTGTCATCGAGTATCCTTTCCCCGTTAAAATATTAGTAGGGGAGAGAAGACTAAGGCTGCGTTCATACTGATCCGGAAGTTCGGGAACAGTGCTAACACAGCGCTCGAACTGAGCGCTGTGCTGAAACTGTTTTCGGACTTCGGGATCAGTATGAACGCAGCCTAACAAGGGAACCTTTTTTTAGTCGAAGTGGCCTTTCGGCACGAAACTTACATCACTTTGCGCAGCATCAAAAGTTCACTGACTGTGAAAGTGACTCCAAATCTGTCCTCCTTTTCTGCAGAACAGCTTTCCGAAAAAAGTTCTGAGTGTTTGAACATCTTAATTTGTAAAGCCTTAAGTGACATATAAGCGAAAAGCTGTACAAAAACACTTATGCGGATTTCCATAGGCCATGCTCCTTTCTTGTGTTCAGTATACTTGGTATAAGTTTGATTTACCTATTTTCAGCTGTTTTGCAGCATTTCGCTGATTTTGTGCCGCTTACAGCATGACAAATTTAGACTATGAAACATTCATAAATTCGTTATGGAAGTCGTTCCGCAAAAAAAGAAAGACAGATTTGAGTTGCTTTACAAAGTGATGTAAGTTTCAGTTTCATGCGAGAAGGCCACTTCGACTAAAAAAGGTTTCCTTGTAAATCTCCGGTGAGATATCGGCCGAGTGAATCATGTATACTGTACCACAAATAATGATTATCCCTACCTGCTTACGTCATCCGCGCAACATAAAATAGAGGGCGATAAAGTTCAATCAACGAATCTATGATGTACAATGTCCCAGTAAATACGCTTCTACATTCTTCCCAACTCTCTACCCCTCTTCCTCCCCCTCCTCTCCCCCCCCCCCCCCCAAAAAAAAATTGTATGAACAATTCTTGTATACTCTGAACACTTCTAAAGAGATGCTTATTAGTATGTATCTGGATATAGTACATGTAGTTGGGATAGCTAGTAACCTTGAGATTGCAGTCATATTTTATTATAAAAGCTGAATCTAATGCCGAAATCTTCAACATTCCATGTAAAGCTGACGAAGCAATCTTTAGCGCATTACCCATGTTCTATCTTCAAAGAGGCATGGTAAAACTTTGTCAAGCCATTAAAGAACTGGGATACATCTGTAGATAGCATATCATCGAGGTATGAACCTGTAAGTTATATAGCTTACTAGCTGGCTTACCCGGCCCCGCCCTGTCAAAACACTATGATCAAGCTCCCATCTACAACCTTTCCCTGTGCCCACGCCTACATGCCAATTCACTATTCCCGCTGATTAAGTAATCAGCATGCTCGATTACTCCCTTTTGTCAACTCCCAGCCCTGTAACTCAAACTTTGCAAAAAATCGATAAAATCAATTAAATTGGCGGACTAATCTAAGAACTAATATTGTATTCGTAATTAGTGAAGAAAACTCATATTCCAGGTCGTTCACAGTTCTTTGCGTTATGTTTTATATGTTTTGTTTTGAAAAATAAAGGATTTGATTACCAATTTTTGAACGAAGGCAGCCCTGGAGCCGAAACCGAACAAAGCCTCAGAACACCATCTCAGCCACGAAACGAAACAAGGACGCCTTCTTCAAAGGTGGGAAGCCAAACTCATTCTTTTTGCTTCTTTTTATTTCCATTTTTTCAAGCTTCTTATTGCTATTAATTGGAGTTGCTGTTGCCTTTGACCATTTCCCGAGTCGGTCCCACTCAATTGCGCGAAATGAAATGAACGTTTTTGTTTTGAGTCTTTGTGTCACCAATGTGCAAGTGCATGAAGTGCACTCCATGCGCTAGAATTGATGGCCATAATTGAATAATCTTTCATTTGCATACAAGAGTCATATTATATGTACAAATAAGCTATGTGGGCTTTGAATCATAATATGGTGCAGCATTTCTTTTTTTCTTCGTCGGTATTCTTCGCTGATACTTCAGAATCCACTTTCGTTTTGTTAGGAGTGGGACTAGGCGTTTTTGACGTATTTTTGGTACCAGCTTTCTTTACCTAAACATTCGATGAGTGACACAAAGGAGGGATGCATCTCGCAAAAGCTCACTTCATCTACTATGTCTTCAACGGACGGCCACTGCGTGCCTTCATCCTCGACATATTTATATAATATCGTTCCAGATCGATTGACCAGTATCGCACCGCCCTAAAATTTACTCATGGAAAATTTGGAAATATGAGTGTGCTAATACCTTATGCGTGACAAATGATGTTTGTTCAGCGCTGGTCTCCGAAATTTTCTTTTCATCCGACAAGTTCAGATCGTCGGCTAATGTTTTCTCTACCATCTAAAAAGAAATCATTGTAATCTCAATGGATTCCGGAATCCAAGCAGAACCCGAAGAAGCGCACTCCAGCCAGCCAACTGTGTCGCAGATCTTCGTTGTGTCTTGAGTTCGTTCAATGCTTCCTGTTCATCGTAGAGCTTTCGGAATGGTACACCAACCAGTTTAATATAAGATCCTCCTAAAATACTGTTCCATAAACAAAACGCTAGCTTCCAAACCAATTAATATAAGAACCCAGAAATCACTGTTCCGTAAACAAACACTACTTTCTAGATCCAATTTCGATCAATCAATTTCGCAACATTTAGTTCTATTACAACAAATTTTATGAACTGCAAAGATTCGAAAAAAGCAAAGCTACGTGTCTAAACTTCAACTGCATCTGCAATTTGTAACTTTGTTGATTTTGTTGTTTTCTGTTGTATTTGGTGGTTATACATGCTGTTTCCCCATCAAGATTTGCAGAAATTACGACGTTTACTTTTTCAGGTGCTAGCGCGCGACGCGAATTCTACGAAAATTGAACAAGCTGGATCCTCCAGAAGGAATAATCGTGTGGGTTTCAAAACTATCCAATATACTCCTGGTTAATTTCGAAAAGGACGGGAAGCATCGTTCCGAAAAGCGGGAGATCGACCATTGAATATATTGAGCGCAGCTACTGATCAGCAGCGGACGTTAGCTAAGATGATTGGTTGGATAGGTTTAAATGATGGTAGAGGTGCTTTATTTCCGTCGGATAAAATGAATCTGAGCAAATTATATTCTACATTAGTTTGAAACTGTAAAATGAAAAAAATGGAGCAACCGCGTTAACGCCATAATTGCCTAGGTTTTAAACCTTCCTCGCCGGATTTGTAAAAGTTACTTTTATGTGGTTAATCTTGAGAATTAGCTCTGCTGTACTCTCCATAGTTTTCTGCAATCCAAGGGCGTGCTTCAGAGGTCGTGCTAGCAAACAGGTGTCAATTAATTGTCTGCGAAGTAAGTGCATTCCCAAACGTCTGGTGGCCTGTGTGAGAGCCAGACGTTTGCTCACCAGGAGTTTATGGTGCTGTTTTCATGGCGTGGATAACTATCACCTAGCTCAGTTTTAACTGTAGAAATAAACTCCCTTAATAGTTTGGACACTCCGTTACTGAACATCGGCCTCGTTGAAAGTTACTCAAGCGTGGTGTAATTTGCATGTTTGCTGCACTAGACCTGGTGGTGCGCGTAGAAACACTCTCTTTCACAGCAAGGAATTTCCGAACTTCATGTGCATTTGTATAAACAAAGGTGAAGTCTGTCTATCTGTTAGTATTGTATGTTGGTACGTTCCGAATAGAGAATTCCTATTTGAATCCGGATCAAACCTTCAGGAAGGGGATGTCTAGGCTACTTTTCGTTATCGAATGATATCAATCTTATCGACTTTTTTGCAAAGCTTAAGCCCTGAGGCTGGAAGCTGGCACAGGGGGTAAGTAACCATGCTGGTTACGACAATATTAGTGCTTGAAATCGTCAATTACCTTCATCGATTTTATCGATTTTTTGCAAAGTTTGGGCTACGGGGCTGGGAGCAGGCACTGGGGGAGGAGGATGTAAGTGTGACTACCGATTACGACTACACAAAATCATCGATCGCTTAGTAGTTGATTTGATTGAGGGAACCTCCAAGGTTGACATCAGTTCTTTATTTGCTAGCGTTTCGCCACTTTCACCTCCCCTCCTTTAGGAAGAAAAAATCATATGAACTTACTCGCCCAGACGTCAGGAAAAGATCAAAGTATCATTCGAAAACAAAATTGATGGTAAATAAAATCATAATTCCAAGCACAATACTCACTTTAGATAGCACAAGACGGGAGTCCAAGGACCATCTATATACAAGAATCCATCTCAATTCTTTTACACTTGCCTTAGTGACCCGGCCTCATATTCAAACACGGATACACTGTAAAAGCGCGAGTTCCCCTTTGGTGGTACACTCCTCCTTCCGATTCTTATGGATTTCTGGCACTAATCCAAAACGCTTCTAAACGCTTTCGAAAACAAAACAACAACGCTTTCTAAAGTTTCGCGCATAAGCGTCTCTGGTTTTAACGACAAGATCCTCAAAGTGACTTGTATCTCAGCCTTGCCATAGCGTGTTATAGGATGTGCCCTAATGGCGTAGCTGCTTTTGATTTATTCAAACCGTCTATATGCTCTTTAATGAGCAGCAAACGGGCGCTCTGTTTCGCCAGTGTAAATATCGCCGCATGACAAGCATGTAATGAGGTAGATATCTCCGGATAGCATGCATCTATCAAACCGGCAAACCATGCAGTTTGGAGTAGTTCGTATACAATTATAAGTTCGATTGCCGTTTGAGATTAGCGACACTCTCATTGGCTTTAAGGAGCATATAAACGGTTCAAATAAAATGGAAGCAGCCACAGCTATGCCATTGGGGAATCGTGTAACGCGCTGTGGCACGGCTGAAATACAAGTTACTGTAGCGTTTAAAATTGCCAAAAATCCAAAAATGAATCGGAAGGAGGAGCGTACCGACATAAAGAGGAAGGGTTGGGCCAGAATGCGCTGGCAAAGCGGCATACGCAGCGCACGCTTCGATGATGAAAAAAGTAATACGCTACATACGCCGCGTACACCTCTCACCCTGTGAAGTCTGGCCCAACCCTGAATTCGCACCTTATCAGTCCCTACGCGGATTCTAATATGAGATCGGGTCATCGAGGCACGTGGTAAAGGACTCAGGTAGTTTTGTATATAGGTGGTCTTCGGACTCTCTAGCTTTCAAAGCTATCAACCGCCTTTATCGATTTTATAGATTTTTTACAAAGCATGGGCTGGGAGTTGGCGCAGGGGTAAGTGAGCATGCTAATTACGAATACTTAATGGGGGCAGAGTACTGGCGTAAAGGGGTGAGACCGCGACAGAGGCGTAGTATTAACAGGCCCCGGCGGAGCCGGAAATGCCACTAGCAGTGGCGTAACCAGGATTTTCATTCAGAGGGGGGGGCACTACAAAATTTCTCACATTGGAGGTGCGTGGCGTTAGCCACGCACCCCGAAAACGTTTTTGGTTTCTGCGCGCCCCTAACCCTGAGAATTTCACAAAAAGGGGAGGGTGACCTTCAAAAATTCATTTTCATTATCTAAAAGTATAAAGACTTCACTCGCACATTTTTATAAACCATATAAGTAACTTTCAAGAATTACGCGACCCGTTCTCGGTGGGGGGGGGGGGGAGGGACTCCGGTGCGCTACTCCATTTAGTATTGCAGTAAGTTCATTAGATCAGAAAGGTCTTACACTTGATACGCAAGAGAAGTCGTTTCAAGAATGTTTGAAGAGACGTTCCAATATATGCCATATCTTTCTTGCAATGGCGGACCAAACGTAGAAAGAGAAAAATCCTCCCAACCTCCCTCTCCCGTAGAATGATGATAGACAAGTAATTTGAAACATACTTTATGCAGATTTTTATCTTTACAGCAGTTATGTCACTGGATGAATTTTTCTCGTAAAGGTCAAGAAAGATGTGCTGTTGAAAAATATTGAACGCATTTTTTTGCCATGCGTAACTTCAGCTAGTCTTCCAAACTTTCATTTTGGAGCTTTGAAAAGGAATTAATCAGATAAGAACAAAGCGAGCCTTGTTCAGCATGAGACATTTCCAGATATTTCGAAACTAGCCTTTCGGGGCTTTTTAAAATGATTCTTCAAAACCCCTTGATTCTGAGAAAATTGCGTAAACGAAAAAATGCAACAAACTCTACAAGATCCTTGGAACTCGGAAGTACCAAAAGTCTATTGTTATCAGACTTCGAATTTCCAACACAACGAAGCGTTTGCCGTTTCAAAATATCATATTTCAAAATTTCTGGAGAGGATATGCGCAGCTGTAGGATTTGAGCGACAAACGTTTTGCTATCAAATGAAAAGATGGTTGGGATCCAATAGTTGGAAAGGGAATGATATTCTATCTGATATGAACATATAATACAGGGTGCGCCAGAATTATTTGCGCGTGTATTCTGCAACGCAAAACTCGTGCAAGACGAGATCAGCGATAGGCAAAAAGCTATTTTGTTTCAGTAACGTTTTATCATTGAGACGCTATAGCATGAATTGGAATTTCTAAGTGTGGCTTGAGAAAAACCACAAAATATCCTACTGATTAAGTTGCGCGCAACACGCAGGTATTTTTTCAGAGAATCTTCTGCTTTTGCATAGAAAAATGCTCCTGTGATGCAAGGAACATGCCACATGATAGAACAAGTTTTCGGCTGCAACATACTTATAAGCGCAAAATCTAGGATGGTCTGACAAGAAAATTATCAGCGTTTAAACAAAGTCATGTGTTTTGCTACATGCTCAAAAACTATCTTAGGAGTGCGAATGAGCGAAAGAAAAGCAGAAATTGACTCCAGATCAGGTTGGAGTTCAATTTCATCAGTGGAAAACAACTAAATAGTTATCTAGATGCTTTGTGAAAGCAATATAGCATTGAATCCGGTGACAGGCACGTTTCTGTAGCTTACAAATGTGATTTGAAAACAAAACGGCCACTGACGCGGGTGGCATTTGCTTACTTTTTGTTACCATTTTTGGAAAAATAATTGTTGGCGAACCAAGTACTACGATTCGATAGCGCAAAACCTCCTCTATACCGTGGACATAAAATCCTTTGAAAATGTCTCAAGAATCTCCAGTTACGGAATGAATTATAACTACCAAAAAATTAAGTTTTTGCGCCTTTCAAAAGTATTGGTACGACAATTTCATTATTTGCACAGGGGTATGGCAATCACCTTTGGCTCATAAAACGCTATTTTGTAGAGGATGATTGCAGTAATCTACCACATGAATTTCAAAATCAAAACTATGAGTAGTTTCTTTGCAGCACTCATGCAAAGTTGACGCAAATACTTTTGGCGCAGTAGTTGCAAGAAGAAAAGAAAAGCTCTCATTACTTTTTTTCTAGTACAGATATTACTAATTCTGACTGGAACAAGATACGCAAGAAACATACCTCTGGAGCCTATAGGTGGTCCTTTTGTTAACAAATAAACATCACAGCCAAGGCTATGGAATTCAGACATTTTATTGTAAAGCGCCATTATACGCTGATTGACTTCGGCAGAATTGAAGGAACTGTAAGGAAGTATTCCAGATTGGTCACTTAATTGTGGGCAGTTTTACCTTACTACAACAACTAATACTAAGTTGAAAGCGCTGTTTGTCACATAATGCGATAGCGTCTTAAGCTCAACCCCAAGTTCCGGAAGCTCACCTGGAATTAATATGTTTGTTCAAGTTGCACGGAGACCTACCAGTTGAACTATAGAGTCTGCACTCACCGTCATCTTCGACCTTGTTGGAGCAAGGACCGAGTTTCTCGTCCAGTTTCTTATCAATATCCTCTATCAACTCATTCCAGTTGCCCACATAATTTCGATATGCGATTACATCGGTTTCTGCAAGGTGGTCCTATAGCAATTGAGCTGACAAGAGATAATCAAAAGCAGAGGATTTCTAGCTTTTTCAGGTGCAGCTTAGCAGCGAGCCCTACAAAGTGTCCCGTACGTAAATTCTATCTGATTCAAAACAGTTTAGCCCCAGCTTTCATGGACCTCAGCGTCAATTTTCAAAGCTTATTCAACTTGATTTACAGTAAAAAAATAAGTCATCAATTGCTAATGCAATAGGTAAAAGTGCGCAAGCGGCCTTTATCCAAAAGCCATTTCTCGATCCGATATGTCTACACAAAATCTGAAATCTTTTCACTTGCTTAATCACACTTTCACAGACTTGGCAGATTTGTTGGTAAAAGCAACGTGCGTGTAAACTTTCTTACACAATTCAATTACAAAGCGGACATTCAATGTATCAATGATTTAAATCTATCCTCACCCCACTATTATTGAAGGGCGACTGATGATTTATTTTATACGGTACATCCGAACTTAGCCAACTCTATGAAATGCCCAAACTGCCCAAAATTCTGTTGAGGTGAGAGAAAGATTAATAGTCAGGCAGTGCATACATGTTTGAGACACCTTGCATGCTCGTGAGCTCTTTCGTCCCAACTACAAGTATTCGACTTCCATACAAAAAATGCGTACCAGCAAAAAAACCAATTTTTGGATTTCAAGTGGAGACATAAATATCAGACGGTCTCGTCGAGAATTCATCATGGTGACACCGTACTTTTGAATCCTTGTCTCCAAAAAAAACTTTTTTCTATTACTACGTGCTACGAATAAGACCGTCCTTGAGGGATGTTCGATGCATGTGGAGCTCCTCTTATGCGTAGAATTTCCAACTAGTTGCTAAGCATATCACCATTTTTTAGCTTTTGCCTAATGAGAAAATAAATCTTCATTTCCCAAATACATGTATCGTCGAGTCATTCATAGCTTGATATGCGTAGTGCACACTATACACGCTGACTGACGAACTGCGAAAGTAGAATCTGCTCATTTTAGTTGGTTATATGTTAGTCAATCACATTCTTCATTTTGTTGGGCTAGAAAATGTTTTACTGGGAAGTTACTAGTATGAGTGCCGTCGCTAATAGGGCTTAGTGTGCAATCTCACATATTGAGTTACAAATGACTCGAGGTTACGTAACTCAGCTTATAAGTTCTCAGTTGAACCCGAAACCATTTAACATTTAAAATTATATAGGATTACCCATTTATTCATTTAGCACCAATTTTTTTGCTAGGTTTTGCTAGGTAGATACAGATCAGAGCACTAATTCAACATCTTATTCCATCCCTGCCCACCTTCGCGAATAACTACGATACAAAGATACTTTGGTTGGCATTCCTTGTCATAGGTATTCCGGTCACGTATTCCACAGAGCTTGACATCTCCCTATTCTCCCTTATTTTATAGGAGCATTCACTCACCTGTCTCGGGTTCACTTTGCATAGCCTCCAAAGCTTTTTCATATTCGGCTTCTGTTTTTACATTCAACATCTCGAAAAGTTTGGCAATTTCTGCACAAAACTCTGCTGAGACATATCGATTCTGAATGTAGTTGACGGCGAACACTGCTGCCGAGTTATGGTGTAGAAACTGAAGGAAGGCTGATTACCTTGAAAAATTTGAAAAAAAAGAAGACTTGTTATACCTCTTTGTATTCATCTAACCGGACATTGAGGAATTCAACGAGGCTTCGCAACTCTTCGTGTGCGGTCTCGTGGATTTTCGTCTCGGCAGGGGGAAGAATTAAGATTTGCCGTACCTGCAATAATAGCAATCACAGTAAGATATAAAAAAATATTCTGGTGCACTTTTAGAAGAGTCAAATTTGAAAACAAGCTGGTTGAACTTAAAATAATGTGTAATAAAGCTCTCGATGATCTGTACACTTTGTCAAAAGAAAGTACATTGGTTTGAAATTCATATTTTGTAATTATGCATCTGGAACTCCTTGCTCTTTATTTGAGATATACATCAAATTTATGATCCGTGAAATTTTGTGAAATTTCATGGTCATACAGCCGTTAGTCAAAATTCTTAACTCTTTTAGAACGTTAGCTATTTTCGAAACGTGCAGCAGCGAAAATCCAGAAGACCACGATTAGCCTATCTCTTTGGACTTGACCTACCTCATTTCCTATAGATTCATTATCTGCATCCGTTGCTTTCTCTCCCATTCTAAGGCCACGTCCTGCAGAAAGTCGATTTTTTGAGCTGCTACCTTCAAACAACAGATGATTATTGCGTCGAAAACAACTTCGAGAATGCTTTATGCAAATGAGAATATATGATAGCGCTTAACATCATCGGTATGTTATGGTCTGAGCATAAGAATGAACAAGGGGTAAGTCCAATACAGTTGATGCAGGAAAAAACCCGGAGTTCGCTGAGATGTCTTTTTCGCCATAACTTCGTTCAATGTGGACAAATTTTGAACAATTGCACCATTCAACTTATTATAATAGTGCCATAGGGCGTTGGGGTATGGCAGGTAGACATCACTTCGTCAGATTTTTGTAATGGATTCTTTAACACGTTTCGGACCGGTGCTGCACATGGTGCAGCACGCTGCTTTGAGGGATCTTTCTGGCGTTTGCAAGAGGTTTCCTTTTAGTCTAAAGTTGTTAAGTTAAAGGTCTAACCTCCTACTTTTCAAATGACTCTGTAAAGTTGTGCGGCCGATATTTGTTTAGGAGATATGAGCACAAATCGAACAACAGTTGCAACGAAGTGCGGCGATGCGAACGACGCGTGCGACGTCGCAACTTTCCTTTGCTTCGATATCAAAGAGAAAAACCGTAGTTTCAATACTGATGTGTGCAGTGTACAACATAGATACTTTTGAATACTATTAGGATCTGAGTTCTTGTTCCTATCTTTTAAGAAAGCACAAAAGTCCCTCTCAAGCGACAAAATTCAAACACTTCGAATTCACTCAGAACTTTGGATATGGAGCTTATCTGACATGCTGATTACAAATGTGGCCCACAGGCTGCGAAATAAGGTCCCTTTGTGGGCTAACGGCTGAAAGTACACTCTTTTTCGCCGCACGCGATTTCGCGGTCCGAAACGTGTTAAAAATTACAGAGTAGCCGCTTCTGAATACCGCAATGGAGTAGGTATACCAAGCCAATCTCACACGCATATGTTTTACGGTAAGAAGTGTTATTTGACGTGCTACTCACCTTAACTTCATTCAACTTTTGCGTTATTTGGTGTGCTAATCACCATATGTTTGCAACTTCTCCTAACCTGTATTTCACAGTTCTTCGCAGGAACAGCTGTCATTACTTGCGCTGGTGGCAGATCGTTGAACGGTAAGTATATGGAAAAGGTTACCTGCTCGAATCCGACTGGAATTCTTAATTTGACACTTTGCGACTAACAGTGAAGTAGCAGTAGCAGTCAGGATAAGTTGCAAACGTATAAATTACTTTGTACCGTTTACTTACCATATGTCTGCAGCATGGCACCTTCGCAGCAGATGAATGAGATGTAAGCAGCACTCGGAATGGCCTCTTCAAGCATAATCCCCAACATACTTGCGAAATGAACGCTTACAGTATAGTTACCGTATCCCTACTATGCTCAACTATTGTAACCACTGTAAGCGCAATGAGGGTTCCATTTGAGCAAGAATTTGAAGAAAACCGTGAAAGGGGACTATTTACCGCATATCTACCGAGGCTCAGGCTAAGCCGCTTCTGTAAGCTAGACTGACTTGTGCTCTTAGATTCAAAATCCGTCCACTGTACCAAGAAGTGGCAATGCAACGCCGCTGCATTTTTTCGGTGATCCATGGGGCGCTGTTTCTCACAAATAACTAGCAGTTTTGCGCAAAAAATAACAGTTTTTGCAAGCAGAGCAGTCACTTAAAATCTTTGACTACACTGCCGCAAATCATAAGGAAGCATGTATTCTCATGCATCGATGATTTTCCATCACAATAGTACAAACATATATCACGTAGACATATGTAAGGTAATCATAGATTTATAAGTTGGCGTGGGAAAGTTAGGACAGCAAACAGAGAACAGGATATTGGAGAAGGTAAGACACGAAGGTAGCAGCTGAAAGATTGTGCGGTGCTTGGATCTGTAATCTGACGCATCTTTTCTGATAGTTTCGGACTCAGAGAAAGGGTCGCAAATTGTTTAAAGTTCCTAGAAAAATCACAGTCATCAACAAATTGAATGTAAATTGTCGTCATCTAAAATACAATTCATATGCTCGTCTATGTCCAGGGTTCAATATGCCTCTCATTCTGATGGTTTTATTCCATAAAGTCGAGAAATGACAAAGGTTCGTAGAAAGTGGAGATTAGGTGATATTGAAACAAATTGTCGCAAAACGAGCCATATAAAATACCGAGTGCAGCCCATGCACCCTGCGGGCAGATGTTCCCATGATATCTTGCAAAAAATGCATGTCATCTGTTTTTGACATCTTCGACATACGCTTCAAATTTGTTGAGCAAAAAGCCATTTGGGACCTGCTAGCAAAAAGCTTCTAAAATTGATAGCATTTTAATTGGTGTTTTCTATTTCTATCATAATTCACTAGTTGATAGAGTGACGATTTCGAAAAAGGTGGTACATATGTTTATAAATTTTACTTCGAGAGTAGAGAAAAATAGCGCCAAGATGTAGTCTGCCTTTCTGGCAAGACTGCTCTTAAACTGACACATGTTTTTTCCGAAGAAAATTTATAAATATTGGACCAACACTTAAACTCATAGCGGTACCCATTACGCATTATTTCTTGCTGCCAATCACGGTTTTTACCTACCCTATACTGAGCTATCTTTCAAAGTTTTTATTTCTGACTTTTGGTAGAGTTTTGATAACCATTGCATGGACTAAACGAAGTGCAATACAATGAAAATTTGAACATCTGCAGATGGCAATATGGTATTTTGCAAGCTGTTTTCTTCAAAAGTCTTCATTTTCGAGTAGTGTAAGCTACACAAACGCTTCAGATCTAAAAAATTTTCGCTTCGGTCCAAATATCGATTGTGATTTTTCACCACTTTTACAAAGCAGCGAAGCGTTTACTGCTCTCCAAATTCCTTTCCGTGAAACCTGAAGCGCTTTCAAAGTCAAGGATAATAATAATTTTTCTAACTGAAGAGTCACAAAGTGGGAAGGAAAAATAACTATCAAAAAAAGGAAAAAAAGTGCATCGAAAAAGATCCTGGTGGCAGCCTCTGAATTTCTATGGCTTTAGCGCGATTATAGAACTTAAAAGCACTGAAAAATAATTTTAGAAATTCTGATTAGCCGACTATGGATGCCACATAATGCATTATACTGCACTTACTGTCATCAAAGCCCTTTCAAAAAACTGAAATGAAAGATTTGAACGATAGCTAAAATAACGGGTACGTAAAAAACGGGTTAGTTCAGATTTCAAGCGACCGTCAAAAATTTCGAAACGAAAACGCCAAAGCTTGGTAGAGGAGGATTTTCTGCATCGAACACTGTTTGGAGCCTTTGCCTATCATCACTTTGAGGATAGGTCGGAAAACGGCACGAACTTTTGGTCTACCTAATACTATCGAAATGTTCAAGAATTATCGTATCATTGCTCTCACAAGAGCTGTCAGAGCCGGAAGATACTCGATGGAGAGTTGCGGAGACGCATTGCGTATTGTGTATATTGTGTATATTGTCATTCTCACACCATCGGCGGATCAATGGAGACCAGACTGAGTTGTAGGGAAATGACGAGTGAGGTGAAGAGAATAACAAACTTTACCTAGCATTGTTTACGACATAATACAAGGTAAAAAAAAATCTCCTATTCTGCAGATTAGTCTAGTGTGCAACGTTATTCTTGATTATTTTTGAAGGATTTTGTGAGATACAATGTGATGATTTTTCTTCCAAAAATTAGTCGAAATTCACGAGATACAGGGGGATGGGTGAGTGAGCTGCTAAAAACTAATTGCAAGTAGTAGTTTGTAAAATAGATTGTTGACTTCAGATGAGGCTGTTCTAGTCCTTATTGGGGCAGGTTGTGCTATTGCGGCCGTAATTGCTTTATAATTAACATTTTCAGGTTTTTAACCAGAAATCACGATTCTCACCTAAAATTTTCAATTTTTCGGTTTTTCGAACATTGTTGTTCGAAAAAATTTTTGCCTCTCGTTTTTTTTGCATTACAATGACGTAAAAACAAAAGCAATCCGAAAAGTTCATGAAATCATAGGATAAAGAAAGCACATCGAGAGGCAAGGGAAAAATCGAAAGAAAAGGAAAATGGAGTGTTTACAAAACTGTCGTAAAGTTGCTGGCTGTGTGTGAATCTGCGGAGCCGGTCATACGCTATTGGGTAGACCTCCATGTCCTAAGTATGGAGCGAAGTGAGATTTTTGAAAACATTTCAGAAATCTTCAGAATTTAACGGAAAAAACTAAAGGAGATTTTTTGCAAATGGATGTAGCACTTGCTCTCGATTGAGTGAAAGATTCAAAGGAATCATTTTTAGGAAATCATCAAAATATACAAGAAGCGGAGGTCTAAAGTTATTCATATTTTCATAGTAATAATTTGATTTCAATGCATGGCGATATAGCGAGCACTTATATGTACTAATGTCTACTTTTCTTCCCTATAATAATAGCACCCGACCATTGTTACTCTTAAAGTGCTTCTATACTTTGGCACATTTCTCAGCCAACATATAATTGGTGGTGCCAAAGGAATAAGAACGAAGAGGTGAAATGCGAGGAGAAGGAGAGGGAGAGGAGGAGGGGGGGGGGAAGTAAGTTATAAACTCCAACCAAATTGATGGTAGCAGAATAGGGTAACGCAGATTCTCGGAATCTGTAAAAATTCTCAGAAAATGTCAGCAGATGATGACATACGAAATTGCACATGCAAACTAATACTTGTAAGGAAATACTTGGGAACGGGTGACGGAAACTGACGAGTTGGGTCAACCCCCGCAACTCGTAATCACGCTCGTATTGAACCAATGAATGCTGCTTTGATAGTGTAGATGCCCTCTTTGAACTCAAGCTAACAAGGAAACGCAGCCATCTAGAAAGAATGGACGGCATCGAGGAAGCGATACGTACTGACATACATTTTGGAATAGGAACTCTACCAGCATTCCGCCATCGAAAAATCGCAGACTATTATTTGTTAGCAGACTGTAGCACAAGGGTTCCCCTACCAAATCACACGTTTCCCATGCATGTGAGTGAGCATATAATCTTTCTGAAAACAAAGGAAATAGGTAATTTATTGGCTTGGCACGTAAGTTTTGCAACTTTTCCATAACTTTTTTCTTGTTCTATGTAGCAAATTCTTTCTGGCATCGTGTAGACCGTGATTTAAGCTGCAAGTCTGCGCAAACCGTTTGATTTTTGTTAACGTAGTAGGAAAAACTTAAGCATTTTCGAAAACTGCTGAAAATCGAGATTTCAATATTTGGCAAACATGAAGCGCCGTACACAACCTGAATCGAACATATCAGAAAGTAGTTAATTGATAAACTGGAATCAGTAAAAAAGAAATTTCCATAACATAAAAAAGAAATGAAATTGAAAGACAAATCAAGTAGGGCGCCTTTAAGAAATTGAACAAGTCAGATACATCAAATTTGGAGGGCCATCTGTCAATAACTAAGCTGCAAAAAGTCAAAATTCGCTAAAACTTTGCACAATAGAATAATTCAATACGGTAAACACGAATATCATATTCATTTGTCGCTAAGAGTAGAATTCATTCGTTGACCTTACGAAAGGAACTTTTTCATGCGAAGCGGGTCTCATTTTTGTGATCAGCATGTCGAATAACCCCCATAGTCCAAGTTTCAGCACAATCTAATGCAATCTAAAAGCTCTCCCGTTATACCATAAACCTACAGTAGCCCTTACATAAGATGACAAAATTTGGAAATGCCTGCATTCAAAATTCACAACATAACCCTTATATTGCCAAAAGAAATGAATGCGCTGCGATCAAAAAGACAAAGTTATATAAAATTTGCATTACTTATGTGTCAACCTAATGTTAGAAGGCGTCCCAACATCTGCCGTTAATTCGCGACGCACTACGTTCGCGTACTTTGACTGACTACCTTCTTGGGAGAGTAGGTGCTCAATACCTTAATAACCTGGGCAGGCTTCTTGCGCCTCCGAAGGGGTAATGAAGCTTGGGGCAAAATCAGTACATTATATCATATCTGAGAGATACTACAAGGGCGAAATATCAGATTTAACAATGGTCCGGACCTATTGTAAGTAACAGCTCGACAATTCTGTTACGATCGAATGCTCCGATAATGGGATAGATGTAATCATAGGTACACCAAATTTTCTTTCATGGATAGAGCCCCGAAATTTTCTTGCAAAGCTTATCCGAGTATATTAGAGCTTGTAAAGTTACTAAATGACAGTAGTCAAAAACGGTTACATAGGCTAAAAAGAGTCAAATAGGATCACATCACAAAGTTCTAATGAGCGACTTTCTTTATTGTCAAACATTTATAGCTTTCATAAATTCTTTTAGGCCCAAAGC